ATACTTACTAATAAAAATATCAAACTCTCATCATATGATAAATTGGATATCGGTAGATTTTAAACTAGCCACCACGCGTCATATAGACCAACACACATCAGCAAAGGGACCATGGCGCTTCGCCGCAGACCATCACACTTTAGCGTGACCATTGCACTTCAGTGTCCCCATAGCAACAACAAATCTATGTTTGTGTTTTGTTTTTTTTTCAATTTATTATATCAATGCGATATTTTGCCTTGGTAAGCATGAAACAAATAAAATTTAATTACAAAGCTGGAGAATTCGTGCGATGAAGTGATGGTCAAAAACGAGTCACTGCTAACGTGTTTCTTCTTTCTATCGCTGTGCATGCTGACCAATAATTGATTAGACGGTAACAAATATATGTCAACATTAACTTTTTTCATTACAATAACGACACTCAAACAGAGTTTGGTAAAATTATAACTAATTCACTAATGCATTTGTGGAGAAGGTAATTAAAAGTTAGAACTATTACATATAATATACAATAAAAATTCTGCTCTTCAACTCATACTTTATTGGTACAATTTAAACTGATTGGTTACCGTTTTCTAGAATTCAAGAGATTCTGGTGCAGAAAAAGGGGACCTTGTATGACATTTTAACTATAGAAACGGTTAAAACCTGAAGCGATATCGAAAGCCTTTCATTTAGCCAAAAATGTCCTGATTTTCACTAAATCCAGTAAAAATGTCCATTTTGATCATAATTGTTCATTGTTTTTGTATATTCATCTAGCCAATGAATATGCTTTGACAATAAGAATAATTGTGTCTTGTTGTCTTTTTACTTTAAAAACGGATGCTTTCTATTGTTATAAAACCACAAGGGAGCCTACTGGAATGAATCTAATCAGACCAACAATGTTATGCAATGAAAAGAGATCTTTAATTTGGTCAACTTCAATAACACAGATAAGACTGCAGAAAAGGCATGTAAAGGTTGACAGGGAATGTCTTTACATTCTAAATCTTCATATCATAAGACATCCCTTTAGTGATTATTGATCAATATTTTTTAGATTCGTTTATTTAAATGTTCGATCTTTCGTTAAACGTTTTTTAACGTATACGTGTGCACGTTAGTATATTAGCATATACGAAATTTTTTTATATCTAACATTAAGTATTTAAAATTGATTTAAATGTACTTCTGATCTTAAAGCTATTTTTATAGGAATCATGTTGAATAAGGCAGTAAACTATACAACATTGATATATAATGTTTATTTTACTTGAAGGTGAATGAAAGAGAGGTGAAAGATACCAAAGGGACATTCAAACTCATAAGCCGAAAACAAACTGACAACGACATGGAAAAAAAAGGGAAACGACCAAAAGACAAACAGCAGTATACAAAACACATAATTAGATTTTGCCTTCTCCCTCTGTACCATACTGGCAATTAAGAACTATATGAAAATGGGTGTTAGAGTTAATCGGCGGGACGAATTGGGAATAAATATTGGGCACTATTTAATACTGCCAATGTCGGCACAACGATGGGCAATAAGAATTAATAATCTTAACATATATATCATAAACAAAAATCCGTCGAAATTAATCTATTTTTCTTTTAATTGTAAAACAAGGAAAATAACACTTTATAAATGATTATATTTGTGAAGCGCTACTCTATATTTACAATCACCAGGAACGCTCAAAGCCAAATACTTGAAAGCCAAGATTGTATAAGTATAAAAACACGTGAGGAGCAAAATGCCAACTTTACTTGAGAGAGTTTTTTAATATTTTTAAAAATAAAAAAAAAATCGAATAACGTAAGAAAAAGAAACTCATCAGTGACACTAAGAAAGATATGTTAAAAATCATGTAAGTACCGAATCACTGATAACTGAGCTGCTGATGAAATATCAAATTTGACATTTGACCTCTGTATACATGAAACAGGTACAAAAGCAGATAATTCGAACGATGAAAATGATGGTAAGAGATGTGTCACTGAATACGTGTGTGTTTTCCTGTAATCCTAAGTTGAAAATAAGGAAGTAAAAGTTATACACATTGATAGATGTTGTAAGATTTCAACAGGAAAGAAACATTTTTTTCAATAAAAGTGAGTACTAATATTCTATTTTTCATTAGATGACATGTCATGATAGTCAATATGTCATATCAACAAAATAGAAGCCATTCACGTTTCAAAAATGAATGAGACGGTATGATGAGACCTGTTGTTTTACTCCTTCAATTTTAAAATTCAAAAAATAAAACAAATGTACCAAATAATATTCTTCGAAATTTCATAAGACGTCAGTTCGTCAGAGTACCAGTTTTGACCTTTCTGATTTAATCTTACATATTTGTAACATGGTTTCAGGTTAAGATCAACTTTTTAGGGTCCGGTCAAGAAGAACATACAATAAGTTAGTACATATTTTGCACACAATAGTTCGTACGCATAGCCGTAACTTTGTGAATAAGTAACATATTCGAATATTGTGGGTATGCAGATCTTGATCCACATGTGGCACACGTCGTGTTAGTCAAGTGAGGGCAAATCTAGTGATAAGTTTTTTCGGTAGTTCACAATCGAGAAAAAATGAATAGGATTGTGGTTATGACATTTGGAACATATTCGTCGTCATCTGTGAAACAAATATTTCAAAGCAGTAGACCATTGCATGATGGCGAATTTTCGAATGGATGACTTCAACTTACCACTTGGAACTCTTGTTTTATAACTTCTCCATAAGCAGCAACCCTTTATCGAGGAAAGCCTGATAGGAAATGTAGCTCTGGAATATTGCATCAACTGGAAAATATCCATATAATGCAGTTGCTGTTGGAATGCTGCTACATAAAAATTGAAAGTTCACAATTGAGAATCTGAACTCATCCCTTTTGTCGTGAAGTAGTGTTCTCAGCCGACCCTCATTGTCATTCTCTTTTCCTCGAATGTGACGTACCGAATTATACGTATCAACGGGTTTGTACTTATATGAGCAACATAAAGGGTGCCACATGTTGAGAAGAATGTGTTTACATTTACAGAGCCCTGGGTTTATTTTTTGTTTTTTATTTTTAGTTTTCTATGTTGTGTGTTTGGTTTTTTTTTCGGTTTTTTTTCGTCATGAAATTGTCAGTTTGTTTTCGACTTATGGGTTTGAATATCCATTTGGTTTCTTTCGCCTTACTTATTCTAGATGTTAGTCACGATACGAGGCAGACTTAACTGTATCTGCTGTATCCTTTATTTCAAGTTAGATTGAATAGACGCGTTCAATATAATTACCTAACTTTAAATTATAGAAATGACTTCATCTAAAGAGCAGAACATGAAGTTGAAGGATAAGCTTTTTTTTTTTAATCTTACTTATAACTTCTCATATGAATAAAGGAACAAGTCGGCAAGAAGAGGAGTACATTTGGTTCTCTTGGGAATGTCGATTGTTTGTTGAAAAGTAACGATTATGTTGTCAATCAAGAAATCAGGTATCTTGATAATGTCCGTTTGAATCAGAGTGAGTTTTATTTTACAAAGTGCAATTGATCTCTCCATAATACAAGACATTTGCATCTACGTTGGTCATTTCTTTTTATGATTTTATGACGAAAATTTCACTAGTAACCCAATTTTGAAAATTTGATCTAAACAGCTCTTAAAACACGCTGATAACGCTGAAGGCCGACTATGATTGCTGATAAGATTGATGTTAATGATTTAGAAAGAGGTATCGTGCAATACTTGGAAGACCCATCAAAATAACGTTGTTTGTAAAGTCACTTATGTAATTTAGGTATCAAATATTTTGCAGGAATATCCAGTTCTTCCTCTTAGGATGAAACTATCGTGGGGGTTTATGTTGAGTTATTAAATGAAATGTCGATACATAATTCCGTTATCAAGCAATTTATGTGATATGATTTACACCCAAACGATGCTATTTTTGCGTTATCTGCGGGGACAACAACATATTTGTCATGGAGATAGGACAGATGTTTAACAATATTTGGGTCTTTAAAGATCAACGAAGAATGTGTATTCATATACCTATTCAGTTTTTTAATTCTTATTTGTAGCAACGATCTTACAGCTTAAAACCCATTCGAAATGAGTATTTAATTCTTCTGTCTCGCATTTAGCCCATTGCCTGGCATAGTCCTCGACTAAATCCATCAGTATTTTGAAGCGGTGTTTCCTTGTGATTGATTCAGTCTCACGATCGCTGGGTGGTGTTATTGACATTGTTTAGGTCACCAGTTATAACGTGGACAGCCGGATTATATATGATTGGGGAACTAGCACAGGTGCAATCGAGAAATTAATTAAGACTTTTTGGAAGTTAAAAACGTTGTAAATATTGAAATCTGCAACACGTGCTTGTAATTGAAAGGCTTAGTCGCAATTAGTTTGGTATAGGTATAAGAGATGACAGGTATAGACTGATCTTAAAGTAGAGAGGTATTTTCGAGCGAACTGATTTATGATGAGGCATATTATCAAAGTTGACGTTATCGAGACCTTTGCTGGCAAACAAAGTTTCAAAAAAGGTGTTTTCTCCGCTTCATCTTTTTTATTGCGAGTCAAGGCGTCAGGATTATATCAACAAGTTAATTTATCAATAAAAGAAGCATCAAATCGAATGGCTTGAACAATTTACATTTTTGAAATTTCAACGGCCAACTAATTGCTTTTATTACACCTCTTCTGTTTGCACTTACACATGTGTCTCCCTTCAGCTTGGTATGAGATAATAACTGAGTGCTTTATATTTTTTCTAATTATATTTCAGGTTTCAAATATCAATGAATTGTGATGGCAATGATCAATATCTATTCGTTACTTGGTTTTATTATGCATGTCGCAAGCCACGATGAAACTCATTGTCCGACTGAACTTTGTAAATGTACAAAATTTGAAGCCATCTGCTCTGGGAAAAATCTTATCTATATTCCAAGTTTTCCAAGAGACGTCCAATCAGTTACATTTCTTAATGGAAATATCGGAATACTATCACAAGAAAGGACTAAAAACCTAACTTTCAATGTTATCTATAAGCTTAGTTTTATAAACAATGCTATAGTTCGACTTGAGCCTGATGCATTTTCTACTTTCATAACAATAAAGGTATTAACCATCTCATCCGAACCATCATTGCTAGCATCAGATGTAATGAATGCATTGAACAATATGAATACTGCTCATCTAAAGTCACTCAACCTAATAAACAACGATTGGATGTTTCTTCCAGACGACATGTTTAAGGCAATAAAAACGAATAAAATTAAAAAAATTAACCTCAACAGAAATAATCTTCAACTGTTGAATTTCTCATGGTTTTCAAATATGTCTCACTTGATAAATCTGAGAGTCAGTTTTAATAAAATTTCAATAATTCTACAAGACAGTATTCTCAGCCTGAACAAACTTTATCTAGACAGCAATGAAATTACAAAATTTCCACAGTTTTGTACGAATCATGATAATAACAGTGCACTTCCAAACTTGAGATATTTATCTCTGACAAATAATAAAATAGCAAAATTAAATGTTGGACAATTTCGATGTTTTTCGAAGCTTCGATCATTGAAAATTGATAATAATTGGATCGTTAGTATTCATAATAATACTTTTACAGATTTGAAAGTATTAACTAATCTCAGTATACAGGCTGTAGGAAAACAGTTGAAAACAATTGAAGATGGATCATTTAATATACCGTCATTACAAATGGTATCCCTCCGAGATTGTCATTTCCATTTTGATAGTCTATCAGCGACGGAGCAAAGTAGTATGCTGTCAAGCTGCAATGATTTAAGATTTCTTGATCTTGGTGGAAATTTTTTGAATTCAACAACTTTGACTAGGATAATATCACAATTAAAACAGTTAAGATATCTTAACTTGGAAAACACAAGGCTTGGCTATTTGTCTGACAACGTATTTCCAAAACTACTAGCGATTGAAACGCTCATCATGTCCAGTAATCGAATATATGGATGGGATAAATATGTGTTTGATCATGTGGCATCTCTGCAATATCTAGATTTGTTCAATAATCTAATAACGATAGTAAACGAATCATCTTTTCCGACTGCGTTACTGGCAAATTTGAAAAGGATAAATTTAGGCGGAAATCGATTTGCTTGTACATGTGAACAGATATGGTTCGTTAATTGGTTACGGCGCACAAACATAACACTTTGCGACTACCCAAATCGTTATTTTTGTACTACACCAGATATTTATAATCACAAATTGTTGAAAGATTACAAACCTTCCTTTTTGTCGTGCAACCCAATCATTACGATTATAATTTCAATGTCTGCATTAGTTTGCCTGTTAATATCGACAATGATAATTTTTCTGAAATGTAGTACAAATATTAAGAACTTTTTATACCTCCTCAAAGTTAAACAGTTTAGACGACAAGGTTATCTTCCTATTGTAAATAGTGAAGATTATGAATATCACGCTTTTCTTGTTTATTGTGATGAGAACCGAATATGGGTTCATAACGACTTCGTCAAAAAACTTGAAAATGAGGAGGGATTTAAGTTCTGCATTTATCACAGAGACTTTGATGTAGGAGAATCTGTCATTGGAAACGTTGATAAATACCTTAAAAAGTCGTGGAAGGTTATTGTTATTATATCAAATGCATTTGCGAAAAGCGAATGGTGTCAGTGGGAAGTCGATATAATTCAGGAGAGAAGACGTCGACAAGGCAGAAATGCACTTCTCTTAGTAGTACTTGAAAATATCACCTCTAAAAACATGACAAGTCCTCTCCGTACTTTACTAGAAAGTACCCCACATCTGAGGTACAAAAAAGGAATTGGTGAAAATTTATTTTGGGCTGCCGTAATTAAAGATCTTCGAAAAGCCGTCGGACACCCTCCGATTTCTGAATTATAGATATAAGTTGTTATTGAACGAGGGTCAGTTTCAATATGTACTAATGTTTGTGTAGCGTTGATTTGTTTTCAATATTGGTATGATATTGTGTTTGTTGAAAAGGAAATGTTGATCATACGTCATTATTTCATCAAAGAAACAACAGAAATAACATAAAAAAAGCATATAGAAACAGTATCTTCAAGAATAGCGACTATGCAATACGCATAAATAATTCTAAATATTTGTGAACATATAGAAAAATACCGGATAACAGATGACAAAAACATAATATGAATAACAAAACAAACCGTATTTAAAATGACTGCAGATACTGCATTGTACTGTGGAAGCAATCTCAAAGTCCTTACAATGTAGACCAGAAATCATGCCATCTATAACATGTATAACTTAATATTGGTTCCTGTTCTTCCTCGAAAATTTTATATATACCTCTACGCCATTACCAGTACAGGATAACATTATCTTTGTTCAATGGCAAAACAAACAATTGAAAAATTTTATTTTTGTAAAGCTTCAAAATGAAAATATAACTCGCCAATTACACCTAAAGTCAACTTTGCCTGAGGGGATGGAACTTTTTTTTGACAATTTCTTAATTTCTGAACGGATAATTTAAGAGAATTTTGTTAACCATCATGTCATTCAATATTGAATTTATGGACTCATGTCGTTATGATCTACTAGTTAATTCTGATGACATAAGTTTAACAGCTCCTATGTTTAAACAAATGCCAAAAGTAAACTCGAATTCAAACCACAAATGCCAGAAACTGAGAATTAATATAGATAAACCATGGTTTGACCAGAAGTGTAAAGAGCTATATGCCAATCACTTTAAAAGATTGCATACTTTTCACCATACAAAATCATATTATAATCATAATGATTTCCACAGTATCAACAGAGATCATAAGAATGATGGAAATAAGCTCAAACGTAGTTACAAACGACAAGACGGATATATGTCGTTTAAACTAAAAAAGGACAATTCGAGAAAATTGTACTCATTTTTTAGTCAAAAAACAAGTGTGATTGATTGGTTGATTTGTGTTTAACGCCACTTTCAGCAATATTGTGGTATTTTTTGTGGCGGTCAGTCTTTTATTGGCGGAGGAAACCGGAGTGCTCGGAGAGAACACCGACATTCGGAAGGGAAACGGACAATCCTAGTCAATTTAGATTGGAGTCTAGCGAACCTGCGACGTGCGGGATTCGAACTCACAACCTCAGTGTTGACAAGCTAGTGATACTTTTTTTCTCTACTTAGACCACTAGGCTACCGAAGGCCCTGTGTGTCTCAAGTGTGCCTATTAGCAATAAGAGTCCTGAAGTGATTAATAATGGCCCTTTTTTAATGAGTCAGATGGAGAACTTTCTGCTGAGATTTTAAAGTCTATTCACAAACGTAAAAGTGACAAGGTACAGACTCTTTGCTGAATGATTTTTTTCATTGAATATCAGGGTTTTATTATGCCACAATTATGTACTCTATTTAATGCCGTATTACAGCAGATTCCATTGAGTGTGTAGCCAAAGGTAATATCTTTGGTTAGCTTGCTTGTTAGCTAAACCGTGAAGTCATTATTAGGTCAAGTATACTACCCTCCTTTTGAAGTAGCATAGTCCAACAGCCAGATCGATTGGTTTTCTGTCGGACTAGTCTATTCTTAAAGTAGGGTAGTTTACCTAACCTAACAATGACTTCACGGTTCAGCTAACAAGCAAGCTAACCAAAGATATAACCTTTGGCTACACACTCAATGGAATCTGCTGTAAATATTGTGGGTATTTCCTATCAGCATGGTCAGATGCCATCTTGTTCCCGATTTTCAAATGTGATGATGTTAACGATGAAGTAAACTATCGTGGTATAATCCTTGTCAGCAATCTAGGTTAACCTTTTTCCGCAATTCTGAATTTTGAAGATTGTTCAATTCGGCAGCTTTTAATGATATTTTATCTGATGCCCTGTTTGATTTTCGTAATATTTATAGTATCGTTGATGCTCTTTTTTGTTTATACTCTGTTGTTCAAAATACATTATATTGTTGCTTTGTTTACTACTTGAAAGTCATTGACTCGATTGATCGTTTATGGTTATGGTACAAAATTGCCAATTTAAGTATCAAGGGATATCTTTTAACTGTTTGAAGGAAAGGATTCATTTCGACTATACGTATCTGTAAAATGTGATTAAGTGTTAAAAGAACATCAAATTTAATGGTCTACTTCGAATTTGGTAGATTTCCATTCCAGTATGACAGCAATTTTAGAATACATAATTTTTTATTTAAATATTAGTGAATGATATTTGTATATTAAGGTCTTGCTACAAAGAGCTTGTGTTATATTGTTCAAAAAGTATGAATTGGGCATCACATGTAAAAAAAATATTATGTAATCTTGGTTTGAATAATTTCTGGGATAATCAGTGGTTATTGGATATAAACAGTTCATATTTACCTTAATACAACGTGTGTTTGGTAAAGCTAAACAAGAGTTACATTTTTATAAGACTCTTCTTCAAAGTGTATATTATATATGTGGTAACGCGTGCAGTTTTGTAATTATAGTTGGTATACATAAATGAACTGCTGTATTGTTTGCAAATGTATTACAAGGATTCGTTTGTTTTCACATAACCTTTCTATTAAATTTGGACGCTATGTTGGTACTAATAGGAATGAAAAAGCTGTATTTTTTGTGATTAAACAGTGATAGAGGATACATTTCATTTCATTCTACAATGTAACAGATATACTGATTTGCGTATCAAAAATATTTTAAGAAATATTACTAGTTTAGGTCTTCAACTTTCAAATTAATGGAGTTATTTTCTGTTGAAAACACGAAACAACTTAGTAACTTAGGAAAATATACGCCTTTCTCTTTTAGATTAACAAACAGTTTATTCTAGAAATATGTTGACGTCTCCTATTGTCATTTAAACATACTGTTAATATTGTTTGTGATATGCCATATTAATAAATATGTTGTATTTGAATACACTGATGAGCCGTTGTGCTCAAAGTTAATAATCATTTGAAATTGCATCAAAAACGGACCGATAAGATGACAGTTGCATGTTTTAATTAATAAGTTATTACACAATTGTTTGCTGCAAACAATGGATGGTTTTATAAAGCTAAGAATTAAACTTAAATATGTGACTTAAATCTTTCACAATAATGATTTTTTATTTCATAAATGAGTTAAATAAAACCCTTTAGATACCACATTTATAACTGACAACGTACATTCTGCACACGTACTTTTTGTTAAGCAAATGTATACATTTGTCGTTTTTAATAGCCAGTAATAAGGAAAATTCATTTTTTTTCGTATTTGGTTTAGGTTTGACTATTGTTAAGCCCTTGTTGAAGCCCATAATGTGAATAACCTCAAACATAACGAATGTTTTGAATGATAGTGTTTTTTTCTATTTTTAATGTCATAATTTTAAAATGATGGCGTTAGTACATTTGACACATGTTTGACTTTAGTTGAAATTTTGCAAAAATCAGTATTCAAATAATAATTTATACGGACTTTGTCCTCTCACAGGTAACACCTGCCTCATATTACAATGTTAAATAGACACGTGTTAGACAAATACATTGTACCCAATACAAACAGACCCAGATGTATAAGGTTCTTTAGAATATTCAGGTAAATGTTCATTTGGGTTTTAACTATGCACTTTGATTACGGTACGATACATGCAAATGCAAAATGAATACAGTATTCTCCGTCCAGTAAAATTGATTTATAAATCCTTTTATTAACACAGCAAAATTTATCTAATTTACACAGCCTTAATGTAGCATCTTCAGGATCAAGTAATGTAGGTTTGAATGACTCGCTCAAAACGTGTCAAGACGAAATATTTTGGAAAGATTGATTGATTCATTTATTGATTGAGTGTTTGTGTTTAACACAATGTTCAGCACCATAATAGTCTATATCGTTGCTGTCATTTTTTATTGGTGAAGGAAGCCCGTAGAGAAGTACCAAAAACTGACAATCCTAGTCAATTTAGATTGGAGTCAATCGCACCTGCCACGTGCGGGGTTCGAACAACCACATTAAAGAATTTTCATACTTATCGTGTAATATAAATGGAACTAATTCATATTTGCTATTATTTTAGAATGTATTTCTATAGGAATTTTATTTTGAATAAAGCAGCATATAAATGGTATTAATCCGCTAAACGTCACGTCATTGCATATGTTTAATTATTGTTAATTGGGTTTCGGTAAATGATTGTCATTTAATAAAGTTTTTCGCTCTACATATAGAATAAAGCAATTACTGTCTTTTGTGATTTAAGTGACTTTTGCAAAACTGATATTCACTTCAGCCATTGGATTTATGAAATATCAGTTTTTCAAAAGTCAATAAAAACCCATATTTACCTCATCAAAAGACAGCTCTTATTGTATAACAATGATGTATGACTTATTTTCTGAAGTAGGCCATCAATGTAAAAGTGTAGTTTCCGATGATGTCATTAGGTAAGATCCTTTACGCTGTTTGTTTAGTAACTTCATGAAATTTCTATTGTATTCCTTATTTTTGTTTTGTTTATACTTGTGTTTTTGTATGGTATTCCATTATATTGTGACTGTATAGTAAAATGCTTTTCCAGTACTGATTTTCATTGCACATATTAATATCAACCATGCTTTGTAGTTGAACTGACTGAGATTTAAAAGAGGAGGAGGAAATATTTTAAACACACAAAATATTATTGTGTCTTTCATCATATATTTGATGGTAAATAATGTCAAATTAAAGCCTTTTATTTTTAGATATAGGATGGTTTCGACCTTGACTTTCAGGCATCTGTCTATTATAAAATTGAAAATGGAAACGAGGAATGGGTCAAAGAGACAACAACTCGACCAAAGAGCACAAAACAGTCCAAGGCCACCAATGGGTCTTCAACACAGCAAGATAATACCGGAGGCGGGCTTCGGCTGGCTCCTAAGCAAAAATGTGTACAAGTCTATATGTTGCCGCTTGATGTATTGATTCTTCCGTGTCGTTCGTGTGCTCATTAAACATGTTTAAGTATACTTCATGTTTCCTTTCATCCAAAACTTAATGGTCTACTAGCGTATACAAATATTTTCATCCCCAATTTTTTGGAGAAGAATAAGTATTGATCAGAATGGTTAGTCGACTCCTTTTTACCCACTTTTGCGATTTCGGGTAAAACAATAGTAAATAGAGAGAAACAGCAAACAGCAAAATTATGTCTATACGCGTAGTAAATGATCGAAATCGTTAGACGAAAACTTATCGGAGTTATTGTCCTTCAATAATGATTTCACCGATTTTATTTTTTGGCTATAATCATGCAAACTGTAATACACATTGAAAAATTTTGAACAGTAAAAATGGTCAGAAAGATCTACAAATAAGTCACATGGCTGATATTGTCTGTCACTTTCAAAGAAGATTTTTACCTACTTTATGTATTTGGCAAATGTAGATAGAGAAGAACTTTGAACAACAAAAACAGTCAGCAAGACAAGATCAAAATAAGTAAAACGACCCCAATCATCAGTTCATTTTTCATGGAAATTCTAGCCTTTAAATGAAATTTTTATTCCATGTTTGCCTTTATGAAAAGTATAATTGGTAAGGAGAACACAAAAGATAATCACCATTAAATTAACTAGACAAAATCTGCAAATAGGTCAACATGATGATCACGATCGTAATTGCATCCCATTTAGGATTTTTAGATTTACTGCCCTTTAATGACGATATATTTTGATTTAAAACCCATTCATGTAGTTTGGCTGGATATGATACATGTACAATGTAACCCCTGTTCAAGTTATTCTTCAAATAAACGCTTTTCAGCAATATACTGACTGCACTATTAACATATGTTCGTGTTTAAAAAGGAAAGAAATAATTGCCACTGGACATTAAGCAACCAACAATCAATCAATCAATTAGCATATATCGAGATCAATAAAAGGTATTTGATAATTTTAAAGTTTCAATATGTATATTTCAAATGAGTACACTATTTTTATTTCCAAAGAATTGAACAGAGAATGTTGTACAAAAACTTTGAAGATTGTTAAGTCATCTATCCTGCGTATCCGAATACGTTATATAAAAATATACAAATGGATAAGACAATGAGAACGGAAAAGTTGAAATTAACGTTTTACATAGAGTACATTTTTTTCAATAAATCCTTGTAGGACAGATTGAGGCTGAAGTCACGGAATATCAAAATGGATAGAATAAAATCTGTATCCGTATTGTTTGTAATGTGTTTTGAATTGCAGGTATCGTACACGTATATTGCTGCTTAAATGAACATTTTATAACAAAGAAACTGGAGGTTGTCCGATAGATTTTCGCAGACCTTCTACAACCGCTTTCCAAAACAAATCTTCCCCAATTCCTTTCTTGTAACGAATAAATGGTGTACTGTCTAGCAAAGTACGCAATGGACTCGTCATATTTTTCGAGTTTATGTTTTCAAGCATGATTAACACAAGCGCATCTCGGCCTTGTCGACGTCTTCTTTCCTGAACGATGTCGATTTCCCACTGACACCATTCACTTTTAGCCAACGCATTTGACATTATGACAACAACTTTCCACGATTCCTTTAAAAAATTGTCTACATTTGCACTTATTGTATCTCCAGCAACAAAATCTCTATGGTGTATACAAAACTTAAGTCCCTCTTCCGTTTCAAGTCTTTTAACGAACTCATTATGAACCCATGTCCGATTTGAATCGCAATAAACAACAAAAGCATGATATTCATAAGTATCGCTGCTTTCAATTGGCAGATAACCATATCGTTTACGATGTTTCACTCTGAGGAGGTAAACATAATTCTTCATATTCGTATGACATTTTAAGAAAAAACCACACGATGCTATAACCAGGATTCCAAAAGTAGAAATTAAAATAACAGTGGTGAAAAATGGATTCCAAGGAGTGCACGACTCAACAGTAGGATTGTAATATTTTAGTAACACATGATTAAAGTTTGCTGGCTGGGTACAATAGTATTTTTGGGGATAACTTACAATACTCGTATTTGTCTTTTGCAGCCAATTTAAAAACCACATCTGTTCACAAGTACAGGAAAAGCGATTGAAGGCTAAACTTATCTTTTCTAAATTTTTCAGTAAAGATGGTGGAAATGATGTCTCGTCAATGATGGTTATTAAGTTACTGCCTAAATCAATATATATTAAAGATGTCATGTTGCCAAACACTCTTGGACCATGCCAACTATATATTCTATTCTCACTTAAAATGATCGTCTTTATGTATTGCATGTTTGTAAATGTGTATTCAGGCAAACTGTTAATCTTGGTTGCCTGTAAGTTTAGGTTCCTCAACTTTGTCAATGGAGATATCAACGGAGTCAAAACAGTGGAACCACTGTTTATGACATTTCCACCGAGATCTATGCTTTCTAAATTTTGACAGGATGAAAATATTTTACTGAGAGCCAGTGATGAAAGTTTGTAGAAATAAAAATTACACTTTCTAAGCGATAACGTCTTTAACGACGAAATATTTAGAGCTCCTTCCTCTATTTTCTTCAATGGTTTGCCTACAGCCATTAAGCCGAGTCTCGTTAATTGTTGTAAATTCGAAAACGTATCAGAATGAATAACTCGGATCAGATTATTACCGATGATGAGACTTTGAAGACTTGGCAAACATCGAATTTGACCAAGGGTTAAAATCTTATTGCTGCTTATATCTAGTTTTAACAAGTTAGGAAATGCACTCTTTATTTCGTGGTCTATACAAAAATTGGGCAAGCGATTTAGGTCATTGTGGTTTAAGGATAATATTCGAAGGTTTTGCATCATCCCAGGTATGACATGTGTTATTTGATTAGATCGTACATCCAATTCAACCAACTGTTTCAAATCTGAAAACCACAAACAGTTTAAAATCGTAATGTTATTGCTTTTGAGACTTATCGTATCAATTTTACTTGTTTTTAAAGATTTGAACATATCATTTGGAAGAACAGTCAAACCAATGGCTATTAGAAATACCTTTTTTAGATATCTAGATCTTGTGCCAATATCTATTAATGCATATCTGACATCAAATACATCTAATGAGTGTTCCGATGACAAAGTGAAACGAGTTATCCAAGTCAAGTTAGCAAATGTATTCGGTTTAATTCCAAAGATCCTATTACTTGTGAACTTTAGCTTTTCAATGTGGTTAAAAGTTAAGTTTCCTATGCGTTCTCGTAAAAGTATTCCGATATTTCCATTTATAAAGGTTACGTAACGAATCTTGTCTGGTAAGCGAGGAATATATGTAAGATTCTCCCCGGAGCAAATAGCTTGTAAATACTGACATTGACATAACGGTGTCGGACATGAAACGTCACTGTTACCTTCTACGTGGATCATTAAAGTGAACAACGCATAAACTATCAATATGTTCATGGCAGCAACTACCTACAATTAAATTACAATATGCAAACAAATTACTAAAGAAATAAATTAAAAAAAATTAAAAAAGCAAATAATAATTGTTTGTATTGAGAGATAAATGTTAGTCACCTAATGGTTTCCCTTAAATATTTCTTTTTGATGAAATGCGTCCAACGCACAACGTATCTTACCTAGCTTACAAAAAGTTATTATTCATCAGTATAATATAGGGAATTCGCATGTAACAGTAAACTAACATATATGTTTCCACTGGTATTGTTACCATTGTATGGCAAAGGACAGCCAACATAACTACTAATTATTTCCTTGTAGAATCGAGAGACAACCCTCCCCCCTCCCACACACATATCTTTGACTTAATTCTAACAGTTAAGGACAACCATGTCTTCAGTGACCTTTAAAACATGAAAACAACACTTTGTATAAATGGTATGCGTCCAAAGCGCTATTCTGGATTTACTAACATCAGGAATGCTCAAATCTGATTATTTAAAAGCCACGGATGAATAAGAACCAAAGCAGTCGAAGAGCTATATCACAAAAAAATGACCTTAAAAAAACACCCATACCAATTTAATTGTTATAATTAAGGTCTATATACATGTTATCAAGGATTTAATAATCATTCGTTCATTTGTTTTAGATGTGATTTTTGTTGTTGCTTTTTAATGTATTTAAATATTAATATTTAAATGTGTATTCAACATTAGAGTGAACATTCTACATAAAATATATTTTTTGGAGTTATGTAAAACTATCACACAAAATTGTCATAGTAATAAATACAGGTCGCTATTAAAGATAAGTTTGACTGTTAATATTTTTAAGTATAAATAAAGCGTTGCATGTTTATATGCTGGGGAAAAACATCATTAATGATACTAAGCTTATAATTATGTACGCCAGACGCATTTGGCATCTTCGCAAATTGATATTAGATGTCAGATGTGCAAACTGATTTTTAATATGCTAAATATAACAAATACAAGACATACAGTTTGCATAAAATCAAACCAAACGTTCCTTCCATATATAATTAATCATAACTAAATATAGACTTACCTGATTATATGACGATTTATAAATAAATCCAATTGACTTATTATTTGGTACTATTATGTAATGTACTGTATATTATTAAATCATTTATATGTATCAAGTGATACTTAAATAAATTTTTCCAATAAGTACTTATTTCCTACATTATTGACTATAAGTCTAATATAAGACATTCATATTTAACAATAAAGTTAATATAAGTGTACATAACTGATAGACACCATAAGGATATACTTGAACGAATATTTTGAAAGTACAATGAATATAGATAGTATGTGGATGAGGGCTTATTTTTCAATATCATAGTATGTTTCAACCATATCGAAGCTGAAGTAAATTATATTTATTAAGGACGCCAAAAGATAATGAACTATTCAATATTATAGCTCCATTCAGCGTAGTTCATAATACATGAGATTTAAGACTTCAAATAAAAAAAAAATGGTAGGATTGGTAGTGGTAGCCATTTTGCCTTGCAGACCTCAATGGAATGCACTTAACTGCGACCAAGCTTTGCAAAAGGCCGTGCGACATAATCAGTCAAACAAACTTTATTAGATCAAGTCGTTAAGGAACAAGCGTACTATAAACGATCGAAAGTTGAATGGGCTGATCACGTACAGGATTGTGTATTTTATTATCTCATTGCAGTTCTAGCTTATGTACATTTTTATTATTATTTTGTGCAATAGATCTAATAAGGTCCTTTGTTTTAGAGTTCTGAATCTTAACGGGTTTCGCGGCGAAATAATGGTTACATTTAAGTACAAAAATAACCAAATTACATAATAAAAATATAGCACGATTTTACAGTAAATAGGTTTGTGAAATAAACTGTTCACTATTCATATTCTATCGTCAGTATGTCACATCCTCCTCCTATATCCTAAAACTAGGCTCACTTATACTAAACCTTTTTTTTTATAAATATGAAACTACATAGAAATAGAAAAATGGAATCCCAATGATAAATGACAACTTAAATTTACATAATTTCATGGCATAATCCAGTAACTTTTAAAAACAGGGAAGCCTGTGGATTTAGGGATTCGACTTGGGACATTGGCCGCATTGAAGGGGAATGTACTTTATGTAATTCTGGCGATTTAGGTGATGAATTTCAATTTGAAAAACAAAAGTTAATCATATATAGTAAATATTCACATAGAAGACCAAGTATTATGTCAATGAACTCACTGTTTGGTAATGAAAAAAAAATTAGTTTAAAAAAGTGTGTCTATTTATTAAACGTATTGATAAAAAAGTGAGTCCCTCTTTGTACATGTATTTTGTCATCCTTTATGTCTTGATATTTCATTTGACAGTTTATAAAAATAAGGAGATGTGGTATGATTGCAAATGAGACAACTATCCACTAAAGTTCAAATGAAGTGGATGTAAGCAATTATAGGCAACTGTAGGTATTATAGTTTAGTATGCATGTATGATTTTGCACTCCATTTCAAAATCATATATAATTCTAAGCATACTACATGTCACTTTGGTGGATAGTTGTCTCATTGGCAATTATACCACTTCTCCTAATCTTATATATACAGCATTTATTCACCTTCAATTTTATTATATGTCAATTAATATTTTATATTTCTCGGTAAACTTATACTTAGTCTTTTGTAGAATAAAACATCTTTCTATATGCACCACCAGTATCCTACATCTGAATCCGCCAATGAATTATCTTGTTTAAATACTTCGTCTTGATAACAGTGTGACTTGTATATTTCAACAACGGCATATAGAAAACAAAATATTTTACTAAGTAATGACTACTTATGAGACATAGAAACAAAATGTGGATTTTTCTTTTAATAATTTAATTGCATTCATAATCAATTGTGATTATGTTTGCACTAAACAACACAGGCTCAAAAATGTTATTGCAAAACTCTGTTCTTCCGGTAAGTTAATCTTAGTATGAAAAAATTTGCATTCAATTAAAATCAAAACAGTACATATATATTATAAACTATCACAAGTATTTATTTAGTTTTTAGTTCCACACATGCAATTAAAAGAAAAATCCTCGCCGATATTACATTTCAATCATTTTTACACAAACATGCCTTCAATTTATATTATAAACTACCACAAGTATTTATTTAGTTTTTAGTTCCACACATGCAAAGGAAAAATCCTCGCCGATATTACATTTCAATCCTTTTTACACACACATGCCTTCAATTCATTTTATTTTCGTAGTAACCACGAAAGTACATTCCATAGTACGTCAATTGTGTTCATTCACTTGCATAATACGATTATTGTTGTTTTGTTTCTATCTTTCGGTGAATGAATGGGACAACTCGTTTCGTTTGTGATACGCTATTTTTGAATGATCAAATGCTCATCTACTGTATGTTCGTTTTGTAGCATGGAAACAAAAGAGAAATTTGCAACCCATCATAAATTATTATTATTATTAGATCCTTATTACATGTACATGTGACATTGTCAGGACAATAAACTAGGATATGACTTTGTGTCCCGTCAGTGTGAAAGAAAATTAAATGCTTAAGTGGTTCATTTATTCATCTGTATAAAAGTGGTACGTGTATTTATCCTCATATTTTTCATAATACGGTACATGATAATTGTGTTCATGCATAAAGAACGTTTCTAAATAAAAAAAAATCACATGTATAATATGTCAACCCACTACTAGTATTTGAAAATTAAGCGATGACACACCATAACAAAAACATTTATCTAATTATGTTTTCGTTCGTAGTAACATAGTACATCCCATGGGCAGTCACCTGTTCAAATTCACGTGCATGCTACGATTGTTATTGTAATTGAATCGTTGGCCAATGAAATGGGACGTTACAAGTTATTTGTTTTTGAAACGCCAGATTGTTATCAAAGAATTATCAAACGCTAAACTTGACTGCAGTTCAGTGTATTCATATGGTTTATTTTCCAAAGCAACAGTTGAGATCTTCAAAACAGGGCATAAGATAACAAGTTTTTTTGTTGTTTCCTAAATGAACGCCGTAACGCTTCAGATGACCATATTTTTATATGAAAAAGATTCTTTTATGTACATATATTAGGAATATTTGTTTAGCCTCAAAATGAGAATTGAAACAATAGGGCGACATATTGAACATCGATAATATGACAATATTTTGAAGTAAGGGTATTCTATGTCACACATTTCTCTGTTAATAGACAATCTATGTGCACAAGATGATAAAGGATATGTAATTGGTTAAACCACTAGAGCCTGTCAGAGAGGCAGAGCATAAAAACACACATTGCAAAGAGAACTTTTTAAAAGTACTCTTTGATTGGTACTTCGTTTTTTGGGGGTTTTTTTTGTTTTGTTTTTTTTGTTTTTTTCTTTGTTAGTACCGATCACATGAGGTTAATCCTGTTCCAATTTTTGTTTCTTTCAAGTTAGTTCTAGTAGGGAGGGTACGTTGGTTGCTCACAAACATGTGTATCCTCATTACATTATATGCCTGTTCCCAGCTGGAACCTTTATTTCAATGGTTGTCCTTGTTTGTCTTCAGTCATAACTGTTGTTTATTCAATGATTTTTTTTATGTAGATCATGCCTATGAGTTACTTTATATTTTGTTGTCTAGGAACCTTTTATAGCTTATCTTACGGTATTGGTTTTTTTAATTTTTAGAGGCCATATGTTAATGTTCTTGTTTTTTTGTTGATAGTCGTCTCATTGGTAAAAATACTTCATACTTTCATATTCATTTTGTGATTGTCAGATTTATACCAAGGAGGCTACTATGGTAAATATCATAGTAGCCTCCTTGGTATAAATCTGACAATCACAAAATGAATATGAAAGTATGAAGTATTTTAGGTCTTGTCACATAGATTAAATTTCTCCTTTGGTGGAATGAAAGTTTGTATTGCAAACGAGGAATTTAGGGCGCTATATATAGTTCTAATGTTATTTGGTGAGGTAGGCACTGTTCAGAGAGCCTATTGCTTTTGCGTGTAATGTAAACCAAAAGATTCAGATGAAATATAGTAGTAGCATAATGAAGTTTCTAAATTGGCATACACATGCTGCACAAGAAAGTGCACATTCACATTGCCCTTGGTCCTTTAGTCAGGTCATCTTTAGAAGTTGATGATTTTATCTAAGATTTTTCCTCAAATTAAAAGACCACCATGAAACACATTTATGGTCATTTTTAGAGGTTTCTGGTATAGTGCTTTCAAATTTCTATCCTTTTCTCCACATTTTTAACCGCAAAGCTTTGATTTTAATCGTTAAAGGATGTAATGCAGTTTTCAATATTGAAAGCAAACCAACTGATTCCAAGGTTTTGTTCAAATTTAAGTTTGAAGTTTATTGAATATTTGTAGATCTCCTTTATCTATATTCAGCAAAAAACAATTTGGGAGGGTCCAACAAAGAAAAACATCAATGAAAAGTGAGACCATAATACATTAAATTTTTTAAATGTAAATTAGTTCAAATACAGTATTTGATTGACTAGTTAGATGCACGAAATTTAGAGACATCAGCAATATTTTCCCGCTTAGATAACAAGTCAGATGTTGATTTTCAAGGACCGCTAAGTTCTTATCGGTCTACTTAAAACCTGTTTCCTTCAAGCACAGTGTGTGATTTCCTTTTCTCTAGATTATGGTTGAAATCGGAATATGACTTTTTTTTTCTAAAGGTAATGTTACCCAAAAAGGGCACACAACCTTTCTGAAACTTCAATAAAAATAAACCGATTTCCTTCAGCATATCTATCAGCATTTATGCATTATGAAATGAAAATTAAATAACACCTTAAAATGAAAACAAATTGCCTATTTGCTAATTGCCGTAAACAACTTTTAATTAGAGATCCATTTTTTACTTGTCTCCCTTAGAGCGTTGTCAATTTATTTTCGACTTATGAGTTTGGATGTCCTCTTGGTATCTTTCGCCTCTCTTTTACAAGGAATCACACATGTTCACTGACAGAGCAAATGTATCTGTGCGTAATGTGTCTATCCAAAACGTTTTTCTAACCTCTAAATTACATTTATTTTGTTG